AAACCTCTCACGGGAAGTGCTCTTATGACAGTTCGCCCATTTTCATTATTAGAGTAAATCCCAATAGGGTTTACGTGGATAAAGACAATTGCTTCCTTTGACGTCTCCTATTCTTTGAAATTGGTCTAGACGAGCTCTGGATTTGAGGAACAACCTTCACTTTTTCGCCAAGTTTCTCGGGTTCCAGTGGAACCTTAGGGTTTGACTGGTCACCTGAGCTTGATACGCTACATGAAGCGGCGAGGAGTGAAGGTAAAGTTTTTTTCCTTCTTATTGGCTTTACGCTTTCTGGCTCCATCAGTTTTTGTTGCTGTCTTTGGTGGGAAGACTTTAAATCTCAAATCCATTGTGTTATTCGTCCTGCATTTACATCACAAATTTGAGATTCCAGTTTTTGGTATATGCACATAAAACATAAACATACATAGATGCAAATGCTAAGAACATTCAAGTATTTAGTTTCAAAATGTGTTTCTTACTTCTTCTTAGCATTTGTATTTATCTATGTTTTGTGTGCAGTTACCAAAAACCGGAATCTCAAATATGTAATGTAATTGCAAGAGGAATAACATATTTGAAAGATTTGAGGCTTAAAGTCTTCCCACCAAAGCCAACAACTGAAGCTGTTGCAGGCAGAAAGCGTAAAATCAATGAGAAGGAAATAACTCTTCCTTCACTCCTTGCCGCTTCATGTAGAGTATCAAGAAACCCTAAAGCTCCATTGGAACTGGAGAAGCTTGGCAAGAAACCCTAAACCCTTTATAAAAAGGAGGCAAGATGCTAGGGTCCTTGGAGAGGGATCATCGAAAACCATACAACAACAATACGTGCGCAAGAGCATCCATCTTATTTCGTAGAGGTTCTTACCCTTGAGAAAGCTCTATGCACCTTGTGAATTTGTGTTTTCGTGTTCTTTGTCTTTCGTGTTCCGTAAAACCTCTTTATATTCTTGATTATGTGTCCACCATAACTTCTTAAGCAAGAGAGGTTTCTATGAAGAAGCAAATCTTACTACACAACTTTGGCCATGGAATATCATTAAGGTGTAGATACTATCTTGATATCCATCCCATGGACTGAATACTTGCAAGTTTATGTAGATAATCATCGATACATGTGATATCTAGGCTTTAGATTCTCACAACTTCAACTGCTAATGCACTTTTGGTACCCTTGATTTCCCTTAGCCTAAGGCTTCAATAGTTGATTATTAGCTTAACTTTGATCTTATGTTTAATGTTGTATTTGATGTTATTCGTGTACATGTAGGTTCATAAAACACAAATCTCAAATTATATGAAATAGTCAACTAGAATATATATTCATTACTTCATGTCTTACAGATTCATATCATGGATAATATCATGTTTTTTTTTTTGAATTTTATGGATAATATCATGTTGACGTTGTGGTGTTGGTTTTGAGGTGGTATGTAGTCTCTTGCAATCTCTAAAGCTCTTGAGTCTTTGTGAAACAACCTAGGTGGGAGACATGTTTTATACTTGTTAATTACTACTGGTATTGTAATGTTTTATATGAGGTAGTATGACACTGTTGGTGAATGATGATGAACTTGCCGGATTTGTATCCAATGATAATGGTGGTTCCATGAGCATGAGTCCCCATTTTCAGATCCTTTTTTTGGATGCCCATGATTTGAAAAGAGCTAGGGAAAGTGAACGCATCACACCTAAGGGTCTTGAGACCAAGTAAATGCACATCTTCGAATGCAAGTAGAGTTTTCTGTGACCAAACCGCGATCTCGGAATATCCCGAAAAACTGCTGATGAAAAAACCCAACTCTTGTCACTTCGAGAAATGCAACCAAAACCACAAGAACCTTGAACCCTCGTGGAGTGTAAAAGAGAACACAATCTAAGAGTCAGAGATCCTATAGTTTACATATGAGGTAGCAACGAAAAATCCACTGATAGAGTAATGATTTCCATGGTAGTAGTATATTTTTTTTTTTATAAACCGTGGAAGTTCCGAACCTTTGGCTCATAATCTACTCGGTACCCGGAAACAATTTTTAGATATTCTGATTTAAAGAATAACTCTCCGTACCAAAGGGGATTTGAACCCGGATCACAAAAAACCAACCCTTGTGTTAGCACTAGCCTACCACACCTTTAGTTATGTCAATGCTGTGTTACCAGGAAAATCAAACAAGAATACTTTCTTATTGACACATCACGTCTATTCATTTTACGAGGATGATTCTTTTATTCCATTATATTTAGGAAAATCAAAACATGAATACTTTGTAAATATAAAATTCATTCTCTAATTTTTGTCAACTATGCAAATCTTGCAAAAAAAGAAAAAATCGACACATCTCGTCTCTTCGTTTTAATTGTCATTATGTGATTCTAATAACAAATGATCAAATCTCCATGATCTTATGGTAATTTCTCATCTATTAGCATGTTTATGGTCCTCTCTATTTCGACAAATCCCAAATTATTTTCCTATTGTAGATCATTAATGAATTGGATTAAATTCATAATCAATCACACATGCATGGTGTGTGTAGACAAAAAGGAGTACGCTGAACCAACCACAAAACACACAGATACAAAGTACAACAAACAAGATACTATACACGAGCCTGATCGTGTCAAAGAACACGCTCGGTCAACAGATCTTTCTGCAAGCTAGGACCAAAAACAAAATACCTACAAACCATAATGAGGGGTTTTGTAGAAACACAAATCCACTGAAAATTAGTGGTGCTACGAAATTAGAGAGATCAACCACAACAAGAGCACAAAAGAGCTCTTCTTTAATGGACACTTGCTTTTTTCAGTCGAGATGTGGGGGTAGCTTATTTGATCATTCAAAAGAAAAGACGTAAGTTATTTTAAATCAGATATGGCATGAAATTTGATGCGATACATTGACCGCTTCAAATGGAACAAAGCCTCCTCAATCCGAACCTCTAATATTGGTGGTTCAAATCGGTTACTTCATTTGTGGTGTCGACTCTCCTTCCCCTACACTACAGGTCAAGCCTCCTATGCTTTTGATTTGTTTGTTCTCTTTAAATCTCCAGCTTCGATCGTTCTCTTATGCTTTTGATATTTTTAATTCACTTTAATGTCTTTTCTATGTTTGTATTCAACAAACACTATATATTAATCTTTCATATTTTTTTTTTGTCACAAATACACTTCAATATTAAACTATCGCATCACTATTAATCTTTCAATGTTTATGTTCAAATAAAGTTTACCTAAGTATAATTAAAACTAAAAAATACGAACCAATGGAAAGATAAGACACATGTGTAGTTTCTCTAAATCCAGACTATCCAATCAAATGTAGTAATTTGAAAATGGAATATCTATTCCAGCCTAGGTTAATGCACCTTTCATGTGGACAATATTGCCTCTCTTATCCTTCAGTTTAATCTACAAAACCCTAAATCATGGTTTTAGAGAAAATCCTATATAAATCATAGTTTGAGAATCTCTCACTCAAGCGCCGTCACTAACACCTCAACTTTTCTCATTCTGATGCCTTCTCGTTACGAGAAGCTCCGTCGATTTTTCCTCGATCTGATGCCTTCCACAACCGTAAAGGCAGTACCTTTTGGTATCTTTCTTTCACTTTTTGTTCTCTCTCTCATGTTATGACATATGATGAACTCAGTCCAATACAAATCCGTAAATGTTTAGAGTTGGTTAAACCTAAACGTAATTGTTTACGGTCGCATACTGATGATACATAAGGTAATCTCGATATACATATTTGATGTTCCTCAGATAATCAATCATAAGAAAATCTTAGATCTCAAAAGGCCTAATTTATTACTCCTGTTGTTTTCAGGATATATGCAGATTTGAGAGACTGTTACGATAGATTGCTCTTCGGTAGCTGCTGTAACGGGTAATAGCACACACATATATATGGTATTAAAAAGCACTCAACTTTACGAATATGCACTTTTATATCTTCTTGACATAAATTTTGATGCTTGATGTTTTTAACTGTAATCGGTACCGTATGAGACGGGGCTTCCAATACCCCTAAGCTCTGTTGGATTGAAATAACTTCATTCATACAGTGTTATTGTGTTTTCGATAAATATCTCTTTGTTTACTTTCTAAATCTCTTTGTTTACTTGTTGTTTACATCACCAATTCACCATCCATATATAATGATGTTCCCTCGTTACGTACTTGTTGTGTCTTCTTTGTTTTCTTGACCTTGTGAGAAACTTTTGTTGATGTTTTAGGGTTCTTTAGCATTTTGTCTTCACTCGGATTCATATAAGAAAATCACTATATTGTTAGACTTCATCACTTTTCTTTTTGTATATCACATTAATCTAATTCATTAGTCCTGTGTATGTAAATGTAACATCTTTTTTTATATAAGTAGTATGTTGCAACCTTGTACTTTCCGTCACGTGATATGCATTGTTTTGAATAAATTGAAGAATTGGTACTTGTTTTTTTTTTTGGAAACTGACTGGTACTTGTACGTCTACTCTCATTTTCCTCAGCGTTCTCAAATATTGAAGACCATCATAGTCACTTCTCAATGACCTTATAGAACCGTCGAGGTATGCCTTAGTTTTAATCTTTTGGGCTCCATGTCTATATAATAAAATCTTCCAACTTAATTAACAAACTGTTAGCAAATCCTCTCAACGTAATCAGATTATTTAATTTTCTATATCCGTAATATGGCTTTGTTGGATCTTTTCCTCTGTGAAAGTTAAACAATTTTATTTTGATCAACAAAGAAAGTTAACCAACTTTGCATGTTAGCTTCGTTATTTTGACCTTTGATTGACTTCACCATAAATGATGTTTACCTACTCTTTCTCAACTGTGATTTTTTTTTTCTTTTTGGAGGGTGAACAAAAACTGATCTTTGAACTAATATTGTAAGACTTATTGTGCAGAAATCTTAGTTTTAACAATTTGAGTGGACTGATCCCGAAAACATACACCGCCTTTTCAGATGCAGATTACATGTATGATGCTCTCTTCTCTTTTTTTTGTTTTGTTTTGTTTAAAGCGCTTTATATGGAAGAAGGCTAAATACTTATGAAAAAAATAGTTTACGCTTTATATGGAAAAAATTAAATTCGTTTGAAAGTTCTAGGGATAAAATTACACTTGAAAGTTCTCGTGGTTGGGGATAAAATTATTATCCGGATTAACTCCGATATGCTCTAAAATTAAGATATTTGAGTGTACAGATATATGTCAAAAACGATTCCGAATAATAAAAGTTTAAAGTTTGGATATCTTAATTCTGTAAATATATAAATTATTTTGGTAT